GTAAGGAGTTTACCGAAAAATTTATCTGACCTTGATTGGCAAGGATACACCTGAATTTAAAATTGTCGGCAAAAAATAGATAAATAGCGCCATCTAACAGACAGTAGGAAACCAAACGATCAAAGTAGATTTCCAAATATACTAAGTGACATATAAATCCGAACACCCAGTTTAAATGGTTTTATTTTAATAAAAGTTGGTGAATGTATTTATCTTACTGTAAATAACAAGTGACAAAATTTTCAGCCTTATCAGTTGGACATTCCGGTTTTTATACTGCTATTTTTTAATTCATTAAAGCTCTAAAAATGAATATTTCAGCCGCAGTAAAGAATCAACGTTGGCGGACTTTGGTTCTTGACATCTTTTACGATCGGTTACGATGCCTAGAGTACGGAGACCTGTACGATTTCGTTAACTTAGTGAGTTTGATAGGGGCCGTATAATGGGACTTCGGGAAGCTGGACTTTCTTTTCGGGCAATTGTAGTTAGAGTGCAAAGAAGTGTAGACACTGTGGTTAGGTGTTGTCAGGCATGACTTCGAGAAGGCCGTACGCAAAGAGCAAGGGGCACTGGACGCCGCCGTAGAACAACAGACCGTGAATATCGCCGCCTAAGATTATTGGCCTTAAGGGACCGTTTCTCCACTACCAGGTCCATTGCAAATGAACGGTTTGCAGAACACGGAAGACCTATTGGCATGCGAAGTGTTTACCGACGAATAAGAAGTTTTGGCTTGTTTTCATACCGGCCACACTGGGTCCTCTCTTTAACTCGAGAACACCGACGTAATCGCCTTGAGTGGTGCAGACAACGGTCACTCCGGGATCAGGAATGGAACAGTATTGTCTTTAGTGACGAGTCTCGATTTTGTTTAGGCATGCACGATGGTCGTGCCAGGGTTAGAAGGCGACGTGGTGAAAGGAGGAATCCACAGTTTTTTGTTGAAAGACATGTTCATCACACTGTTGGAGTTATAGTTTGGGGTGCTATAGCTTATGGTTCCAGGTCACCTTTAATCTTCATCAGAGGTAACACGAACGCGCAGCGTTATATCCACGAAGTTCTAGAACCCCATCTTTTACCCTATCTTGACACCCTGGCAGATCCAACTTTCCAACAAGATAATGCCCGACCACATGTTGCAAGAGTCACAATAGACTTCTTTCAACATAATGATGTCACATTGTTACCATGGCCACCAAGATCTCCCGACTTATCCCCAATTGAGCACGTGTGGGATATGATGGGTAGGAGATTGCTCAATTTGCAACGTCCTCCTCAGACTCTAGAAGCACTTCGAGAGGAGTTGGTGGTTGCCTGGAATAAAATACCACAGGAGGACATTGACCACCTGATCAGAAGCATGCCTAGGCGCGTTGGAGAATGCGTAGCACATCAGGGTGCATCCGCACATTATTAAAGGTCAAAGGGCTTTAAAGCAGTGCAATCATTTTGAAATTTTTATCAGTTACTTATTATGCTTCATTAAGTACTTATACAAAATTTTATTAAAATAAAACCACTTAAACTGGGTGTTCGGATTTATATGTCACTTAGTATACATTCTTGTGTTTTGCTATTGTTTCATACATGACACTAGTAGGTATCTTTCAGATACCTTTTTGGATGCCATAGCTGGGTATCATCACTTAGAATATGTTAATCAATGGAGAAACGTAGGACTAGCGAATAAAATAAGAATAAAAATTTATTAGAGTGATACCCGTGCAAGTACATGTGCATCCAAGGTACGCAGCGTCCAGAGATGTATCATAAAATTCTTCTGCAAGTGCAAAATGCGAATTTTCTCTTTCCATTGCCTGCATTTGAAACATCGGGCGTTCGATAGAAAACAAACAAAACTGCAAATAAAATGGAGAAAGATAGAGCAATTCCTTTTGAGAGCGCTCAAGCGTTAATAGGAACGGATATTCGGGCCAGGGAAGATTTAAATTTGATAAACTGTAAAAATGTATAAAGTAGAAAAAATTGAAGAGGATGAAGCGTGGGCTTCTACGAAGTCGAAGACTGAACCATTTTTAGCTACCCTGCATTAAAGGTAAAAAATGATTATTTAGTTACTTTGCTGGGTGCGCGGTGACAGAATAACCTAGCGGATGTCGGACAGACGTATTTGTAGAATCTTAAAAATAAATATATACCAATGAAAATTACAGACGATGAAGACTAGAGATAGTAGGTTAACCTGATGGAGTGTGGTTCTGCGGGTCATCATGATTGCAAACATCTCCAATATTATGGATTATGTTTGGGACTAGTTAGCACTTCTGAGAAAAAAGTTAGTCACCAACATGCATAACAAAAAATTGAATGACCTTCCTCCACCCAGAGAGGAATTGCTGCAGGTGCAAATGAACGTTGATAGATATTGGCCTTCACCATGTAGTGTATAAGCGATTGCCGACTGTAACCTACGACCACTGACGACGACGCTTGTCCATTTCGGGGACTAGGTCCCACGTATCGACACCCGACTGTAGGAGATATTTCTAAGTTTTGAGGGTAAATGTACGGGGACATCTATGATGAGCGAAATATGCCTAATATGTGCCTAGGACTACTGTGGTTGGAGGCGTATAAATATGCCAGCGATAAAAGATTGCGAAATATACTCCCCCACTCTCTGTGCGCTTTGCCTCTAACTCTTGTCTCCTAAGAAATGTTTCCTAAAATGATCAGAATCATCTGAAACGTCAAAAAACGAAATTTCAGCAGTTTTTATTTTTTTCTGTGTGTTTGTTCGCCGAAACAGACAGACACATAGGCCGATGGAAATGCGTGGCATGGTTTTTAATGGTACATCTAAACGTCTAAGAAACATATCTCATTTTCGAAAATTTTCGCGATTACAATATTTTCGCGCCAGCAGGCGTGGTAATAAAATGATTTTATTTTGTATTTTTGAAAGAACTTTACATATTATTTTTATTTTACCAAAATTTGTCATTTTTTTCCGGTGAAATTAAATAGCAATTGGCAATTGTTAGAAAGGTCATTTTTTAAGGAAAATACATGCGAAACTATGAAAAATCAGTCCAAAATACCTAGATGCCGTAAATGATGGTTATAATATTGGAAACTTTATAAAAAGAGGTTATGTTGTTTCAATATGTTTCCTTGGAAACATGCTCGACAATCATTTGGCATATTTTCAATAAAATAATAGTTTTTGCTTCTATAAGAATTGACGGAAAAATTTTTATTTCCTAACAGATATTGAGAACACTGTGCATTATTTCCAAATTATACTTTTTGTTGCGCAGTATACGTAATTCAATAAGTAAAAATCGTTGAGGTAAATAAGGTTCCAAGTACTCACTAAAAATTAGATGAAATCGAGAACAGTATGGGCGCAAGCAATGTAAAATGCACTACTGATGCGCTCACACTCGCCGCAGCTAACTAAAGGAAAAATATCTGAGGGTAAATGACTTTCTTATAAATAGTTTTCCCAATATTCACTGAAGATGAAATCATTCATTTAATAGTGATAAATTAATCTTTTTCGATGTGCGCTGCAGTATTCTTCAGTCTGGCTATGTTCTAAAAGGTCATATTGCCATTGTAAAAAGTTATTATACAGGGTGGGCCATGAATTAGTTAACATTTGAAAAAATCGTATGAAAAAAAACATTTGACATATTTTAAAAATTATTTATTCACAAGAAAGCTAATTAGATGGAATTCATTTCTTGAAAATTATATCATCTAAATGACCACCGTTACGATTTTTGCACTCTTCGAAATGTGTACCGAAGTTTTCGAATACTCGTCGGCATAAAGATTGCGAGATCGCCGACATCTCTCCGTTGATGTTTTCTTTTAGTTGACTGAGTGTACTTGGTTTATTGATGTAGACACGACTCTTTGAATAACTCCATAAAAAAAGTCTGGTGGGGATAGATCTGGACTTCTGGGTGGCCATTGGATGTCGCTTCGTCTGGAAATGAGCTTTTCCTGAAACATTTCTTTGACCACCGGCAGGGACTCGTTGATGTGTGACACGTGGCTCCATCTTTTTGAAACCATGTGTTACGATTACAGCCAGCAAATTCCAGTAGCATCGGTGCCAAGAGCTCCCGTAACATTTTCACATACTCAGAAGAATTAACAGTAACTGGATGGCCGCGAGAATCTTCAAAGAAGTAGGGGCCAATGATTCCTTTTGCTGAAATTGCAGCCCATACAGTTACTTTAGGAGAGTAAAGTGACTTCTCGTGTCTAGCTTTGGGATTTTCTCTGCCCCAGTACCTGCAATTCTGTTTAATCACATATCCGTTGAGGTGGAAATGGCGCTTTGTCAGAAAATAAGAGATTGTCAAAATTACTGAATCGGGCTACCATCGTTTCGGCATATGACTTGCGCAAATTTAAATCATTAGGTTTTAGTTCCTGCACTATCTGGATCTTATATGGATGTAATTTAAAATCTAATCTCAAAATACGGCGTAATGATGTGCGGGATAACCCCAATTCAGCCGAAAGTTTGCGCGTCGATCAATCTGGATCACGTTGAACAGAAGCGGAAACTTGCTGCACGTTCTCTTCGCTCCGAGCAGTCCGTGGGCCGCCGGTTTGCTTCACAATCAGTGTAGGTCCCGTCTCTTCGAACTTCTTCGCCCATTTCTTTATCAAAGGAGCACTCAGACACTGACTTAAGACCTGTAAATTGTATTCAACGCGAAATGAGCATCTCAAAGTAATGAGCGAACTTTTGTTTAAATAAAATTGTTTCTCACAGTAAGCGCGTTGCGGCCCCGTGACGCGATCCATTGCGTCTGAATTCCCGAGAAACGAGCTAGCGACTAGCCCCTCCCTGGTGTATTAGATTTAAATATCAACGAATTCTTGGCCCACCCTGTATTACGCCAGTAGTTGCGTGCCTGCAAAGTTGTTCCAAACTCAATCCTTCAACAACTGATAACAGTGTTGCATAGGAAGAGCAGACTCAACTTAACGCCGTGTTTTTATTTTAGCGTTCCACCTAGTGACCTGCTACTCCGCCTAGGCGAACACGATCTGTCCACCCAATCCGAGCCGTATTTGCACGAAGAGCGACGTGTACAGATCGTCGCATCGCATCCCCAGTTCGACCCGCGTACTTTCGAGTACGATTTGGCACTACTGCGTTTCTATGAACCTGTCAACTTCCAGCCGAACATATTGCCCGTTTGTGTGCCGCAGACTGATGAAGATTTCATCGGAAGGACGGCATACGTCACGGGATGGGGTAGATTGTATGAAGGTAAGTAGTTTTTTTTTAAAGAGAAAAGCTTTTGTAGCCATTCTAGGCAATAATGCTCGATAGTATTGCTCTATCGGCCTCTCCTGTCCGAATAATGTAAACTGCACCCAGAAATGTGTGCAATAACGGGTAAGATTTCTCTGTAATTCCTATCAATGCCAAATAATTCCGCTTGTTATAGCTAATTCCCGCATAATTCCCTCTTATGCAGCATAATTCCCCCATACAAGGGATGTCCCTTAAGTTTTGCATATGGAAACAAAAAAAACACGGTAGGTAGTTTAAAATGACTTTATTGTATTTCGAAGTATTCTCCACGAAGATTAATACACACCTGCATGCGCTCGAACCAATTTTCGAAGCACTTATTCCACTCGTTTGCTGGCAGATCCAAAACGGCATTTTTAAATGCGTCAACTGCTTCTTCTGGTGACTGGAACCTTTGACCACGTAGTCTGTATTCAATTTTCGGGAAAGTAAAGAAACCGTTAGGACTTAGATCGGGACTATATGGAGGATGGTCCAATAATTCCACGTTTTCTTCCGTTGTATACTGCCTTGTTCTTTGGGTTGTATGAGAGCTTGCACTGTCTTGGTTGAGGATGATTCTTCTTTCGGGGTTGATTTTTCCAAGATCGATGATGACTTTTGGCAAACAGATGGTGGTATTCCAATCCGCAGTAACAGTTATTTGCTCATTAAGAGGAATTGTTGCAATATAACCCGCTTTTGACACAAATGTCGGGACGATCTTTTTCGAAACTCTTCGAGAACGGATGACTTTTGTTGGCTTTTCTTCACCTTGGAACACCCAAACAGCAGACTGTCGTTGATTTTATGGTTCGTAACAGTAAATCCACGATTCATCACTACTAACGATGCTGTAACATTTTTTGAGTTTCCGGAATTGAAACGGTCAAGCGTTTTTTGACACCAATTAACCCTGGCTGCTTTCTGTTCTTCAGTCAACAGGTGGGGTATCCAACGAGAAACTAATTTTCTTACTCCTAATTGTTCATGTAAAATTTTTTGAATTGAGGTCTTTGAGATTTTCAAGGACGCCTCAACCTTGCAATATGTCACATGTTTTCCTGGGCGACTGCCGTTTTTGGTGCACCCACCCTGCACGTTTGAATTCTCATACCAATGGCAAATTGTCGACTGATGTGGCGCTTCGTTGCCGAAAACAAACAGTAACTTAGCAGGGCATTCTGGTTGCGATAATTGTCTCTGAATGTTGTAATAAATTATGGCGCGAAAATCTTCTCGGTTGCGTTCCATTTTTCTAATGACTTTGTGACACTTAAAAATTCACTATAGTGAGAACACTGCACGTATTGTTGTGAAACTTCAAATTTAAGTTTACAGAAGAGTGAGGTTCAGATTCAGTACTGACGTTCGATGCGCGCGGCCTAATATGTTTCTATATGCAAAACTTAAAAGACGTCCCTCGTAACTCCCTCTAAGGCACCATAATTTCCCTAACTCCCTGGTAATTCCCGAAAATTTACCGAGATTCCTGTATCAGAAAAAGTGTTTTATATGATTAGTTTAATCCTTCCAATTCACCTTCATATATCCTAATTTACATATGAATTGAAACACAGTAAAACTATGAATGTTTCTAATGATAAAAAATACAACACAGTGCTAAATTAGAGTACGCATGTTTTATATTAACTATTATCAATAAAATAAATATTTCCCATACAAGTATATGGTTCCATGTATTATAGAGATCAGATGATATGGCCAGTGTATGTCTATTAAATAATGACTAAAATCCTCTTTATGAATATTCAGGCCACTCCTCACTGATATACTAATTTTCAAGGTTTAATCCTTCCACACATTTCTTTGAAAATAATCATCACAGAGTACAAGCGGGTGTCGAGGTTAGAACTTGACCTCCCCTCTAACTTTTTTATATGACCGTTTAGAAGAAAAAGTTGCTTTCGAATAAAGTTTTTTTTTAATGGAACATCTTATACATTTTCAGGAAAGGTGATAGTCCTTTTTTCTGATTTAAATTGTATATGGTTTATCATACCTTTTTCATTAGGTTAGCCAAAAGTTTGAAGGCTGTGTGTCATTTACTGTGTGAACGAGTTCGAGCCAGTTTGCATCTAGTCGCTTATGCAATGTGGTATGGACCGGAATACATTATTATAAATCAATAAAACATACAAGTTTTTTGCTAGTTCTCTCTGGGGTACACTAAAAGACCCTCATCGCTCCGAATGGATAGATGTCACTCATAATTACTCGTCAATGAGTCGAAATACGAAGCATTCTCAGGGCTACTATACCCTATTTCACGAGTATCCATCACGCTTCTGTCTCTGTAACCATGACCAATACCACACAACGTTGTTTCATGTTTATTAGCACTTATCATTGGATAAAAGTCTGGTCCGGTCTAGTAACTGTCTTTTAGTGTAGGCCATAGACGCTTAGGAAACAGCTGTCATTTTCAGCGTATAGGATGAGATGTACGAGTATCAACCTGTTGCCGAACCATTTGCAGGTGGCGCTTTGCATTGTTGTCACCTCTTGTACTCAAGGCACTGAGTTTTTCAGTACTATACTGATGAAAGCTAATAAGAATGAAATAACGCTGTCTAGAGTGGGTCATGGTTATAGAGACCGAAAGGAACTAGTTTCAGTTCAGCATGTGAACAGCTGTCAATTTCAAGGTCAACTATGAAGAATATAGTTTTTTTTTGAGTAACTAATGTTTGTCAATGATTATGTATGAAATATTATACATTTATACAAGTTGATTGAGGACAAAAGGCACAACCTTATATTCAAATTTTAACTATGCCACATTGTAGAGGAGAAAAAGTGACATATACGTTTTCGTTTGTCCCAGAAAATACTCTGAATTGCGGAATTTTCGAGCTCACCTTTCCTTAACTACCTAGAATACGCAACTTTGTCCGTATTTACCTAGTTTATTACCTCTTACCGCTTCCGGGATAAGAGTCTCATCTCGAACTAATGGTATAAATGCAAAAGAAGGTTGTCCTAAAATGTGACTTGGCAGACTATTTTTCCACAAAGGTTAAGCAACATTTCCTAACGTTTGTATCCGATACAAAAGTGTGTATCAGGATTTATATTGCGGCGAAGCTTCCTTGTCCAGTGTATCAGTGTCCAGGCGCAGTGCTGGTGGGAATCCGAAACTTTTGTCTGGACATAGGGTTCGTTACGTTAATGAGATGAATACTTAGTCAGGTTTTTAAAACATTTACCAGTGTTTTCAACAGAGCTATCATAGCAAAATCCATAAAGGCTCTGGAGCCAGAATTTTAAATTGAGCATACGGGCAGGCGTTTTTGCCAGTCGCTTAGCTATGATACTTTGGTTGCAAGTCACCAAGTCCCAAGTAACAGTCAAACGGTTGCTGGCAGGGAAAGTCGCAAGTGCTAAATGTCTACAGAGACAACTGGGTCATACATGAATTTCTCTAGTTTATAGTCTAGCTTGACTGTACTAAATTAACCATCGATTGAAATTCCAGGAGGAACTGCGACCCTGCTCTGTGATTAAATATTGTTTACTGAAATTCTAGTCGAACAGCAGCCTTTGCAAGACTATTAATTGGGAGACCTTTGATCTAACGAGACTTGATACCGAGTGTCTTCAATTAATATTACTTTGGCAGGTTACTGGAGCTGCATTGATTTATGATCATTCAAAGTATGAATATAATATGATAAACTTGAAACCTGATCTACTTTAAAAGATACTCCATCATGCTTTGATGTCTATTGAGATAAACAGCAGACCATCCCTGTTGTAAAGTTGACAATAATGAATCTATTGGAAATGGAAATAGAAGGGGTGAGTGAGTGACTTGCATTTCCACGATGAAGACGAGGAAAATATAACATTTTCCATAGCTATGCGTCGCAGTAAAAAAATAGGTTGTCTCTAAAATAGTATTCTTAATCATAGATAATGGCTTATTGGACAAAGTAAGTAGAGTGCGGAGTACGTTGCGTTTGATCGCTCCTTGTACTTGAAGAGCATTTCATTCTCTATAAACAAGGATAGTAGTCCTAATAAGTTGTAGGTAGTGTAATGAAAAATAGATTAATCTTTTTTAACGGCACCAGTGGATTATTTTTATATTTACCTATCTAGCTAAAACACATCAGATTAGAACAAAGCATGATATTATTCTACGAGCCCCTTGTTGGCACAACGAAATCTTAGTTTTTTTCTTATCAAACACAAATAATAAAAACGTAGCAGGGTGATATCGGTTTAAAATATTAACAATGAATATTTCGATAATATATAGTAGAAAACATCAACTTTATCACTCCCTAGTCAAACTTGCAGCATAAGAATAACACATGTTGCAATTACAGCATATCAACCTATTTTCATTTCAATGCAAAATAAGTCTATAACGCATAGGTGGCTGTGAAAAATAAAAGCCATGACAAAATTGTTTTTATTAATCACAGCTGTAAGAAAACATTTAGACTAGTTTTGGGTAGTAAGGTTTTCAAAATGTGTAGAGGAAAGGTTATTAGTGTGAAAATTTAGTTACTGATAATTATATTTTTCAATTCTGGGAAATCAAACTCAGAAATTGCAACTTTGTTAGACTTATTGCGGTACAGTGTGAGAAATATATTTTTAGAAGATATAACGTAACTGGTTCAGTTAATATTAAGCCACGATATGTGAAAAACAGTAATATCACAAATGCCGACCGAAGAGCATTAAGAAGAATAATCCTGAAAAACAGGCTTGTCAATTACTTACAATTAAGTGATCTGTGGAGTGACGCTGTTGGAAGGACAACTTCGATGGTCCACTAAAAAAGTGAAGCAAAAACCCTAAAGTTGCACAACTTGTTTATAGGCCAAAGAAAAGCCACTATTAACTCCACTGCAAAAGAAAAATCGGCTTAGATGGGCTGAAGAACATAGACAATGGACACCTCAACAATAATAATAATAATAATAATAATGCCTTTG